TTTCTGCTCAAACAAAGTTAAATTTTAAACATAGTCTTGAAAACTTCAGAACACCTCTAGAGCCCATCATTAAATACTTACTTCTAAATTTGTCCCAAAGAAATTCTTCCAGCAAAATCAGTAATTATGCTTTCATTTATCTTTTACAATTTTATTTACACAAATTTTCATCCTAATGGTTGAATTGATGTCTAAGATGATGTCTTATCCTTTCACTTGTGGAAATTTAAACATGAACACTGGTAGACATGAATTTAAGGTGATGTTTATTATTCCCTTGCGTTTTACCTCCTCCAACTTTTGTAATTCCTTGATACCTACATTAAATATTTTGGAAGCAAGAAAAATACACAAGTAGCCAAAGCTATGGATTATTAGAGACGCAGTAACCATAATCAATGCAAAACTAAATAAGGTTAATCATAGTTGACTCAAATGAGGCTAAAATTTCCAGGAAATTAAATGATGAATTAAATGGATCATGTCACTGCTAGACCTGGATAAACTAATTTTAACATAAATTATTCCACAATCTTAATTATTCTTTCTCTCTGTATGGAAATTTTTATCAATTAATTATTCTATCAATGTTTCTCAGTTCAAGCAGAATTTTTATAAAGCTATTTCACAGCTCAGGCTGTTCACTTGTACTCTGATTTCTGACTCAATCTTTGTGTTATATTTCATACATTTCTGATGCTCTGGTCTTAACCTGAACTGATGAAAGCTTCTAGCATGTACCTTCACATTTATAAAGGTAGGAAGATTTCTTTTGGATCGTATTAATTTACGCATTAAGAAGAACAGAGTTATCACTGTTCAGTAGATTTCTTGGGAAAGATACCCGAATATTTGTTAACTTATCATTAAACTTATTTCAACATTTTAAGACCAGAATGGATTAGGACAATCCAACAGCCTCACTTTCATAATAAAGACCATAAAAATATCATCCTCTGATTTCTGCACTGAGATGATTGGTGTATTAATTCCTCACTATTAACAGCTCAGTCTCAGCAAGTTCTCCCCACAGCTGTTTTCACAGCCTCTAGATTTATTATTTCAATACAATAGTGGCACCAGATATAAAAAGTCACATTTCCACATGTTTGCGGAAAAACTTACTCCATTGATAGTGCATACATAGTCCTTTTACTTCTGTTTTCTTGCTTCATTCTAGCTCCAAAATAAAACATGCACACCATATGAAGAAGTGGCAGAGATTAATGACACTTTGCAAAAACAAATTACATGATGAGTCATCTAATTTCTTTAGGCATTTGAATTTGTCAAGTACAGAACATGAAGACATTGATTCAACTAAGCAATTTACCCAGGGTTCATCTACCTCTTGCACAGGGCCTCAATGAAGACATGTTTAAAGAAGCTCTAAGCAAGCTGGTGCCAAGATTGTGGGAAGTATAACAGGCACTGACACTGCTGTCAGCAGCTGGCTGTTACACTTACCCAGTGACAACACCATATTTTAGATGGCTAGGTTGCCTGGGACCCTCAAGTCAGTCCTTGTGCCACATTTTCTTGTGTTCTGCAGGGATATCGGATCTAGTAGTGGGATCTCTAGCACAGTTCCCTTATCCTAGAATCATCAAGTAGGCAGTGCGGCAGATTTCAGAAAGACAGTTTGCAGCTATGAAGAGCAACCTGTTCTTATGTATTGGCTTGAATTGGAGACTAAATCAAGAATGCTGCCATAAAGCTAATGAACAGCAGGTGCCAGTTAACTAGAGATCTTTTCAAAGGAAAACCTGCAAACTGTAAAAGATGACCTCAAACCATATGACTGCAGATAGGCTAAGGGGATTTTAAACCAGATGGCTGCATATAAGGTGAGTAATCAAAGACATCAGCCTTAGAAAAACTGACTTATTTTAAAAAACTTTATTCTTTTTCATCCATCACTGGTTTTCTGTTTCCTGCAGGATGAATCCATTTTAAATTTAGTCTGTTTCTGCAGTGCAGAGCAAAGTGTTCCTCTAGGAGGCACTAGCAGTGCTTATCACTAACTTCTACTAAAGTACATGGTTACTTAAGGAAGAAGTTCTCAGTTGACCTGCAACACTACTAGACTGGAGCAGTAGATTGGTGAAGGACTAAAACTGAAAATAAAACCATTGCAACTGCCTTTTCTGCAATACAAGCTATACAACAGGGGTAGAGGCTCACTGACAGCTAACCAGCAATAGGCCTAATAACCCTGACAAACTGGGAGTCAAATGTGCCTTAGTAGACAACAGATTTTTAAGTGATTTCTACTCCATACAAGAAAAATAATTACTGTAGAATAAAAATCACTTCCATTGGGATTTTTTCCTCAAGTTGTAGCAAAACATTAGCTTAAAATTGTGGGTGTTGTTAACAAATCTCTATCTAATTTCCATGTATTTTCCCATTTCAAGAGCAAGAAATGGCATTTCATATTCTAACGCCCCTTTTTTTACAGAGAATTTTCAAATTCTCCCAGAAAACAACAGGGAGAATTTGACACAATGTTCTGTCTTTGCCTTGTTTGTGGTTTTACCAAGGTATTTGCATTACAAATAATGTTTTTAGACCACCATCATCCTTTCTAAATCCTTGAAATACAGTCTGAACATGCCTCCTCCTGGAACTATTCAGCCTCATGCCACAGGCCAAAACTGAAAGAAGGTGAATGTGAACATTCAAAAAGTATCTGGTAGGAATTCCAGTGGCAAAATTATTAAGTTTAAGAATCAATAGTTTGTAAAGTTGAACTACACTGGTCACTTCAAGCTAGAGGTCCTGTCTCTGCCTTACAAAGTCTCCCTGTTTGAAATGTATTTTAAATGAAAGCAGATATTACATTGAAAGTACAGTTAAATTAAAACATCCATAGAAAAATACAGAAACCCCTCAAGTACAACTTTTAAGGTATGCTTCCCCCATGGCCTGGCTTATTAGAAAAGGAATGAGTCTAATGAAACTTTCCCTTACCTAAGAGCTAAGACAATTGCTTACATCCAAGTCAGTAGCAATGAATATGACACCCTTAAGCCTTGAAATCCTACAAACTGTTACTGTTTCAGTTAATTAATAAAGAAAATGGGTTGTATTTGCTTTGTTTTCAAAGGACAGTCCCAATCAGTAAGAGCATTTCAGAGGAGTAAGGATGCATTAGTAAGAGGGATTACTAGAGTGCAAAGTGCTCTTGGTTTTAAAAAGCCTCCAGACACTTTCTCATCCTGCAAGTCACAGTGTCCCACTCCCTATCCTTAATATATATTTTAGCAATGTATAGCAGGTCGATAACATTAAGACGATCTCAGGTGGAGGTAGAAAACTGGAATGGTTTATTGGACATACAGGCTGATATTTTAAGGGTCTGGGGTCTACCTATTCATAGGGGGGCTGAGCTATTACAAACAGGGGGTTTTACAAGGATGAGGTAAGGGAAAAACCCAAGTTACACCTTTTGGGTTTAGCACTTACATCATGGGGAAAAAACACTTATTTTAAGATTACATTTTTGGGGATTTACCTGGGGGAGAGATATCCAATGTTTACAGAATACACAGGATACACAGGGAGGGGGAAAACAACAATGGATTTTACGCAGAGGCTTGATAACATCACAGCACAGTGTCTCTGTATCTTGGCAGATTTTTTTACCAAAGATTTCTGTTTAAACCCAGGAGTTTCTTTTTCTGGTATCCGAATTTTCGGACTCCAACAGCAATGTATTTGTTTATTTAGTCAAGTTTCAGAGATCATAGCTGCTGCTTCAGAGTTTTTCACATTGCAAAAAGATTCCAGACCTGCTACAAAGATGCCACTCAGAGGCAACAAGCCATAGCTGAGAAACGAGAAGAAAACTAAAAAGCTAACTGCTACTTAACTGCAAAGGTACGAAATCAGTATTTTAGAGCTCTACTTTCAAGAATACCTCGTCTTTATCTCCCTACCTTTACCCTCAGGACAATGGTATGCTTCTACAAGCTTTCTTGCAGCAACAGTTTGAGATTTCATTCACTAGTGTTTGCAAAATACTTTGAGGCTCTCAGAAGGGAGATGCTACTGAATTCTAAATATCTGTTTAATTAGCTTTGATCAGAAGTTATTTTACCCAGTCAAGCTGAAAGATCAAAAACATAATTGAAAAATAAACTGCAGAACAAAACAAAACAAAAATCAATTTGGAGATGGTTTAATGCCTTCCTGTTTCTCTATGGAGAAGGTTTAGTATATCTCTTCTGAAGTGCACGACTGCCAGGGCCCCATAGACACCCCCTTCCAGGGCTGGAGTGTGTATGAGGGGGAGCTGCTGCAGGCAGTGGTGACTTAGGACAAGGTCCGGGAGCCGCCTCTGCAAGGCCTCTTCTTTATTAGCTCTGCTAATTCGCCACAGATTTCCTTCATTATTGTTAGCCATATCCATGTCATCAGATGCTTTTATTTTTTCACAGCACTAACAACGCTGGCACTTCACTGGCCATTATTTACTCAGCAAAGTTTTAAAGGATGTGTAATTCCAGGTGCCAAGCCTCCCTGTATCTTCACTCTGGTTCTTTCCTGAGAATTAAACCTTTCATTATTCAGCCCAGTAATTTCTTACCCTCTTTATAAATTCAGTACAGTCTTCTAACTGACATTTTCAACAAAAGGTCATTTCAAATACACAGTGTTCCTTGTATTGCCTGCCTTCCCCTCTAAAGGTCCACCAGAGCTAATGTTGAATTTGTCATCTATTTACTCATTACATTGTGCAACAGGCCTTTGATCCCCCACTTGTCTGTATGCCACGGCTGTCTCCCATGTGGTAGATCTAGGGTGGCTTTCCTCTTTTCCATTCCTTCCTAATTAAGCTGGACGTATTTCCAATATCCCCCACTCTAAATAAGAGTCCAGCCTATTGCTTAAAATGCCACAGCTAGGTTCATTTATTAATTGCACATAACTGAAGCATCAGGCATGTGGCCAAAAAACAAAGTAGCTGCATGAGGAGCTGGAAGCCCAAATTCACCTGTCACTTGTTGTACCTAAAATCCTTGCACCTTTCAGTTTTCTGGAAGCTGAGAACCTCTGCTTTGGGCAACAGAGACACTGAGGACCATAGACTGTAGATGCCATCTTACACATTAGTTCTGTCAAAATTAGCCAAAAAGATGCTTCTCCATTTGTTTCACCAAAGGAAATGTTAGACTTTCTAGAGTGTAACTAACCCAGCAGGCTACATACCAAATACAAGTGAATTTTTAACTCACAAAGTTTTCCTCCAGATTCAGAGTTGGCCATGCCAGTGTCCCTTTTCATAGTGAAAATCTGAATATTTAGAGTTTCACTGTGAGATGAAAAACCTGGATTTCATTCAAGGACTTACCTCCTACCTCTTCATTTTTTATACACTTTATGCAGGGACATGAACTGTCATTGGAACTGCACTTGAAATTTAAGTGATTCATCTGTTTTCTCTGCCATTTGAAAGAAGGGCTTTTTAAGCACCTGCTTTTCAAACTGTGAGCACCAAGCAGGACACTTAAGCTCAGAAGAAGTCAAAGGTTTAACCCACCTTTTCCAAGTGACTTAAGCAGGTTCTATATGACCTGATTTTACAGAGCCCCCCAGCCAGACCACTGGATCCAGAAGGCCCACTGAGGAAAGCTGGTGGGTTCTTGGTCTAAGGAACATGAGAAATAAATGTATATCTTGACATTCTGATTTAAACTAATGTTTAAAATATTGTTATTTACCTTTCCGAAGAGGAAGGAGCTTGAGAGGTACCACACCCTGAGTTCCTACTGTATGTCTTTGTGGGGAGAAGATGTCTGATGAAACACTCCAGTGGAATGGGATTCAATCGTACCTGGTGAGGGTCTTGCACATAGACTTTGACCCAAGTTTCCAGCACTCACTAACTCTATTCCTCTGAAACTGAATTTGGCACAAGTGTGTCTACCAGGACATTTTTTAATGCAGCCTAGTCCTCACAGTAGGAAAAGGCAATTCATTTTCATTCTCTGTAAGAGTCAAGTGTGAACTTAACAAATATTTAAAATGCTTGTTTGCCCAAGCTCCACCACTTATCTACCACTCCGTGAGCAGAGAGCAGGAATCTCCTCTCCTTATTATAGTCAGATCTCTTCATGTTCTCTGGGAAAAACTTTTGGGAAAGAGATACTTTTGGTTTCAGTGAAGTATCTTTGAGCTGAGTTCAGTGCTGGCACTACTAATAATGATATTGCTATAGATTTAAAAAAAATTAAAGTATATTTCCTAGTATTCTTTGAATGGATGAATATCCTGGACAGATTCTCCTGACTTAAAAACCACAAGAAACCTGTGAAGAACAAATAATAGTAAGGTCTGTGTAAGGCTCTCCCAGCACAATGAAGTGCAGGGAAATAGAAGTTCAGGGAGTTATGTCCAGACTCAAAACCCATGCAAAGCTTTCCAGAAAGCAGTTCAGAGCAAACCTATGACAAAGAAAAGGCATAAGACAAAGATAATAGGCATTCCTAGGGTCATATTTTCAGGGTAGATGAAGCAGGCACAAAGTTTCTGTGAAAAATACAAAAACCAATGAAAAAGCTAATTCACGCGCAACTCTGCTTACTGCCTGCCAAAACTAACTGTGTCTTGCTAAAAACTGGTAAACTAGGGAGAAAAATTAATGTCATTTTCTTTGTGGGTTTATGTTTTGGTTTGTTGCTGTTAATTAAGGCATTAATGCAATGGGGCGTTAAAAAATTTCGTTTGATGCCTTTGAAAATCATCTGGACCCAGCGTACACAACTCATCATTCCGTTTCTCATCTTGCTTTAATCAGGTGTAAAACCAGCCTAATTGAAAGGATTGGAGTGATGAATCACCATCTGGAGGTAGCTGCACAAATTATATTCCCAAAGAAACGATGAGCTTCCAGGAGAGGTTTGTATCTGAATTTGGGGTCCCTGATCCTCAGCCACCCAGGAGCATGACTGGGACACACTAAAAGGCCCTTCTACCCTCAGTGGCCAGGCTTTTCATCTCCTCAGAGGTAGGGAAATGAAAGCTGTGTCCAACAGATGAGTTCTGCTACAGAGCTGGGGCACAGCCAAGGCAGGTACTTGCACCTAGAAACACAGAAGCACTCCTATGCAATGTATTTTTTTGCATATATTTTATGTGCCCTTACCACTGAAAATTGAAGCCTATTTAGAGAACAGAGAGTATTTGTTCCTACAAACATTTTAGAGATCTTGAAATTTTTCACATTATGGAGTATGTTGTACTAAATGAAAGTGTATTGTTACATACTGCCTAGGGAACAAAACAGACAGCATCGTCTGGCACTGTGGAAATGTAGTTTTCATCTAGATCTGGATCATCCTTTGCCTCTCTGCCTTCCCCCCCTTGCCCTCCCCCAAGCCAAAAAGAATAAAGTATACTAGGAAAACAATGTAACAATAACAATATATGAAGATACCAGTAGAAATCAAATAGGCTAGGATCCTTCGCTGGAAAAAAGAAAACTTTATAGAGGAATATAAGCGAGTAGGATAATGAATGGAACAGGGAAAGTGAATGGGGACTAGTTATTTCTTTTCTTTATGACATAAGGACTATAAGGCACTGAAGAAAACTTCCAGGTAGATATTTCATAAGGGAAAAAAATAATTTTTCCACTCAAACTGTCTAACCTTGGAAACAAGATATTACAGATTAAAATAAAGAGATGCAAAAGTGATTAGATAAATTCATATAAGACACATTCATTGAGAGCCGAGTTATAAAGCTGTAAATATAACCTCCTGCCCAATACCCTGAACCATAGCTTACTGGAAGCTCTACTAGCATTCCAGAGGGTTATCAGACATGTATCCAGACTTTGCATATGTCCATAAAAAGCTGTTCTTTATTTTGATGAAGACCCTCCACTCTCAGTATTCAGCACAGCTAGTCATGAATTTTTAGGGCTTTTTAGACAAGCAACTCAAAAAAAAAATGTTGTAGGAATAATGCTTAAGGACCACAAGAATTTAACTAATTTACTAGATCTTTAGTGTGACAGGTGCTAAGGGAACTCTTTGTTCTGTCACACTGATTTCCTGTAATTTTCAAAAGCTTGAGATGTAAAAAGTACTTGAGGTTTTTTCTTTCTTATTCTGATTTAAACTGTTGCTAGTTTGTTCACAGGTAGAGGAAATACCTGAGAAACACACTGCAGGTTAGAAAGTAGTGTAACAAATAACTGAATGGCAAGGAGCAGGAAGGTTAGAGAAAAAGAAACTGTACATTCTCACACACATTTCATCTGTTGATGTCATCTGTGATTGTACTTTATATTTGTGAGTAAGAACTTATGTAGGCATGTATGTAAGTATAAACACACACACACACATACCTCAGATTCTCCTTTTCTGTCCTGTATGAAAAACAAGTGGAATCCAAGATACACACAGTTCAGGTTGTAACAGATGATAAGACTGGAAAAGGAGGGAGAATATCTCACCTGGAGATAACCCAACACAGGGACTCACGCAGGCAGCTCCACCACAGCCTGCATGACTTTCCGTCCCTCATGTGGGACACATCTGTGTTCCCAGGTCTTTACCCACTCTAACCGTGCTTGCACTCCAACACAGCTGAAGACTGGGACCATCCATTGCAGTTCCTGAACACAGCAGTGGTCACCACGAGTTGGTCTTCTGTGGAAGAAACTGATGAGAAGCAGAAGAAGTATTTACAGCAAGATAGGCAGGAGAATCCCTAACAAGGCTTTGCGGTAAAACCAAGTCCTTGAAGATTTCGGAGAGCAGACTGTGTGGGGGAGTTTTTTCCCAAAGATTACCACAGGAAATTCTTGTGGTTTCTGCACTTATTTGCTCAGGACTCACAAAAAACGCAACTCAAGTCTCCAGACAGACACTCAGAGAAGGTTTTCTATAAGGAAAAGCCTAAGCAGTGGGAATGAAAGTACAACCCACTCTCAAAAGGATTCCACACTGTATTAGTCTGTACCATTGGACACTGGTTGCACACTGGGTGCAGGCTGTAGAGCTGAAAGCAATCATCCCTCCCAGTCCAGATTCAGAGGAAGTGGGACTCAGCAATTAGAGTCCTTTAAGACAGATTTGTGCCCATTTGGGAAGCAGGATCTTAAAGTCCTGGATAATAAACAACTTCTTTGCTCCATTCAGTTATGACTGTTTTGTTTTAGAGGAGATGTTAAGGTTCTTGAAAAACTGGTATTTTCAGGTACCTTATTGAGGCCTTGGCCTAGAGAAAAGATTCAGATTTTTTCTTTTCATATTCCCACTGATACTAACCTGCTTAAAATACAGGTGAGTTTGTAGAAGTCCCACCTGCAACACAAGTGAGATCCAAATAATTGCTTATCAAAAGCTTTTAAATACACAAGTTAAAAACAGTGAAATGTTCTGTCATCAAAGTAACACTGGGCAATATAAATTAGTTTTGGAGCTCTGGGACAGAAATAGTGTGATTTGATGGGTTTTTTCCAATTACTAAAGCTAAACTATAAATGACTGGCTGTATAAGCAAGAGTAGTGTTGTAAATTGCAAGGACATGGTGCAATGATAGCCTAACAACTAATTTTTTCATGACTGTCCCTTGACAGTAAATTTCCTAATTACCCAATGCTTGCTTGCCCCAGTCGATCAGAATACTTAGTGTTTTCTAGGCTCTGAGAGAAGTGAGAGCACGCTAAATGTTCCTTTTATTCCGCAGCTAAATAGGAGAAAGAAACATATTAAAGCATGTCATGGTCTTCCAGAGATATATATTTTATATGCATTCCTATAGTTGAAACAGCCTTTTTTGCAGGAACTGTTCTAGCCTGTTCTTGCAAATCCTTTCATTTCACCCTTAAGGTGTTTCAGCTCCCCACCCCTAAAGCTTATAATGAAGATGTGATGCTGACACCCAGAGGAACATAGGTATGAATGTAAATACATTGTATTAATCTGTAACTCTGACTTCAGAATGTGTTTCTTAATAAGGCATCTGTTTAAATTGAGACATTAAAGTCTGTAATGCAATATTCTCTGTGTGAATAATCTATAAGGTAGCAGACACGTTACAATGAATAACCAGTAACAGTGGGGTTTCCAGCAATCCAGTTTAATAGTTTCTTCATATGTCTGTGTTTATACATCAAACAAACTTCAAACAAAACAAAACAAAACAAATTAATACACAATTCAAGAAAACACTCAAAGCTGTTACGCTTTTGGCTTCCTCTTTGTCATTTTGCAATTATGTACAAGACTGTCTTATTTGCAATACCTGGTGAGGATTTAATGATTTATTTACATCAGCAGGTGCCTTTCACTATGCAATAGAACTGTCTCCTTTTGCCATTTACATTCCTAGTTGCAAGAGCCCACATTTAGGTTGTATTTACGGATAGGGTTAAGAGATGGACTGAAACAAGGCAAGATTCTCACTACTGACCACAAACGTATCTCTGAAATCCCATTTTCAGATATAGCTGAAGGAAGATTCCAGAACCTAGTGCATTGATATAATCATTATATCAGTCAGCATAATAAGATATCTTCACTGAGAATAACATTCCCACATTAGAGTGAGATAAGTGTGAGCTGGAGGTGCAGCAGACAAAATGTATAACTCTAGTGCTAAAGGTACACCTTACTTCTCCTGTTAGAGACCTCCAAAGCAAATGAAAACACAGGTGTAATATCTTTTTAAATGTTTGGAGGAGAATATCTTACAATTTTTCTTACATGAGAGATAAAATTAGAAGGGAGAAATTATCATTTTATCATAATATGCAAACTGTTTCATAGAAACACCAAATAACTTGGTTTGGAAGGGACCTATGGAGGTAATCTATTCCTAATCATTCAAAGCAGGGCCAATTTCAAACTCAGTCACCTTTCAACTTCGACCAGATTGTTCAGGGCTGTGTCCAGTCAAGTTCTGAATACCTTTTAGGATGGAGTCTCCACAACAACTGGGCACCTGTTCCTATGTTTGACCACCCTTATCGTAAAAAAATTTCCTAAAACTGAATTAGGACTTTCACCTTGAAGGTATAACCTAACACCCATGGAATAAATCATATTCCTTCTATTGAGAACAAGAGTTTTACTGCATCTGTAAACCAAGTATAACAAGCATTATTCTTTCAGATTTCAGAAGGAATAGCTCATTTTTCCAAGATCTTTTCTGACATCTAGTCAGTGGGTTGCCACCACTTGAAATATTTTCATAGCTTAAATCACAGTGCAAGATATGCACCATCCATGCTCATGAAGAAATCAATGCCATACTTCCAGTTCCTTCATCTGTGATAAATCCAACATTTTGTACATTACACAGCTGTTGCAGAACAGCACGTTTATGAAAGCATGACTAGATGAAAATTACTCATACAAAAGGCATGAGTATCAACCTAGAGTCCTCTGAAGAAAGACAAAATCTGCTTGTTTTGGGGAGCAAAAGTCAGGACTCTTTGTCATAGCTACATGTGCCTGAGGTTTTGAAATCCCTCTTTTGCCATTGCCTGCTGTGGTTTTTGATTATCAAACTTGTTTTTTCTCTCCCAGCTTGAAATATACAATCTACAGAACAACTTCCTCCAGTAACAGAGGCTCCTTGCAGCCAAAAGGTTTTTCTAATGTCTGTTCAAAGGCAGGCACTCACCCAAGTCTTCTGATTTTCACAAAACATTACATGACTATCTGGAGTCATGTACCCTTTACTTTCCTAGCCCTGGTGAATAAAGAAAACAGACAAATCAGCTCAGTCTTCATATTCAGCCTTAAAATCCACCTGTGATACATCACACATCAGTGTGATTAAAACACAGATAGTCATATATGACAAAGTACTGTATCCAGCCTGGAAATCTCATGGTAACACAGGCCTCTTACATAATACACATTTTATGACAGTAACAGTCATGACTGGAATACAAGACTGCTGATATGTGCATGTATATTGGTCATAACTGTTGACCAAGGTATGTGAAGCTTCATAATTGGAGTTGCTTCTCTGATTTTATGTCTTCAGAAAGAAATAGCAAAAAAAAAAAAAAAAGAAAAAACACCACCTGGTAATTCTGGGCATCAAAATAAGCCAGGCTTATTTTTACCTAGAAGACAATTTTTTTTTCCTAGAGAGAAAAATAATATCAAAAGAAACATGTATTGAAAGGATGATGGGTTCAGTCACATGGCAGGTCTCACTCATTGCATTTAGCAGAAAGAAAAGTATGGCTTTCCCTGTATAATCCCCTAACAAAATCCAGCCTTTGGTAGAGTAAATGAGGTTCAAAATATTCTTTTCCCCATTATACAGACACACTGAGTAGTTCCTACCATCAGCATGACAGAGGTGTGTGGAGGGAAAGAAATGTAAAATCACATGTTAAAAAATAGGTTCTGATTGCTGCAGAAATCATCACAGCTGAACAGAGAAAATATTCCATAGGCATTTCAGCAGAGTTATAAGATGTGGTAAGATGTTGCATTTCTATTCTCTTCCTTGGTTTAGTTTTGCTTTCTCAATACTTATCTGATAAACCACAGACCATTCTCAGGTTATAGCAACAAATTATCTCTTTGAAGGTCTTCCTCATTTCCTGGCTACGAAAGGCGTAGATCAAGGGATCGATCACTGAATTGCACATAATGAGAATGAGGTACATGTTGAAGTGAGACATGAAGCAAACACAGTAGAGGTTTTGAGGGCAGGAGATCATCAGGATGAGATGAAGGAAGAATGGAGCCCAGCAAACAATGAAGATGCCAAGAAGCATAGTCAGAGTGATGGCTCCTTTCATGCTGGTTCTTTGACGGACAGAGTTGTACCCAGGCAAAGCAGCAATTTTCTTCACATGAGTACGAGCCAGGAGGAACATATGGATGTACAGTGAGACCATGAGGAACAACATGGTAAAAAACATAGTGATGAGACAAATGACCACGTAAGTTGATTCATAATAAAGAATGAAGATAATGCCACAACCCGTGCAAAAAGTCCAGATGCATGCAATAATAAGCCCTGATCTTTTCACTGTCATGATGTTATGATAACGCAGGGCATAGAAGATAGTGATGTATCTGTCTACTGCTATAGCCAGCAAACTGCACATGGAAGCCACCACAGATATGCAAATCATTGAATCAAAGACATTGTCTATATGACGGACAAAGGTATCTTCCATAATGATGTGTCTATTGTTTATTAAGTATATCGTTATGGTCTCCCAAGCATTAGACACACTAACCAGCATGTCAGCCACTGCTAAACTGCAAACAAAAAAATACATTGGTGAATGCAAGTTCTTGTTCTTAACTATTGCACATATAACTAAGATGTTTTCAAGCAGGCTTACAATGCCCAGAGTTAGGAACACCTCAGCTGCAATGACCACTTGCTCACATGGCGATGACTTGCTCTTGACAGTAGGCCCAGTAAAGTTGCTACCAAAGGCACTCAAGTTTAGTTCAGAAACATACAATTGAGAGGATGTGTTCATGTCTGGAAGCTAACACATTCTGTTCCTTCTGAGGGGCTTGCCAAGGAGTGTGATAAATGCATTTTCTGAAAGACAAAAGATCCTGCCAAAAAAAAAATATATTATGATGAGTACAGGCAGAAGTTGACAAAATAAATATCACCCATTTCTATTTAATTTGGCTCGGAAATGTCCTGCCACTTCCACACCATATTCCTCTACTGATTCTAAATTAACCTTTGGTCAGCTCAGAGATTTTCTACCCATCCTTACTGGGAAATTAAAACGACAAACTAATGAAGAGATTCATCCACCCTTCATTCATTCTTTTGTTTATTCTATTTGGTCCCCTGGAATAATTCCCCAGATTTTCCTGGAAATTCTACTGAAAAACAAACAAACAGTTTTCACAGTCCTGAGTCTCAGACTCCAGAAATGTAGGAGAATGTAGTATTAGGTCCAGCAGAAACCGCTCACTTGAATACAATATATAGAAGTCTTGATTATTGTTATAATTAAGAATTGAATATTTTCAGTTATATAATTAAATGCTTTCCTGACCTTTGTACCTTTAAGTTTGCATGAACTGTGCTATAAACAGTTTATCTGTGCAATACTAATATGCTCATTTAAAAGCATTAATGGTATTAAACACCTAACCAAAGCAAATCCATACATTTCAGGATACACTAAGGTTACAGAATTAGTGTGGGTGGAATTCGTTGTAACATAAGTTTTCTATTCCAGATCATTAATATTTTATTCAATTTTTTTTTGTAACGACAATATTCAGGACAAGTTGTAAGCCATTCTATTCTTAATAAGGGGAACACTTAGAGCTGTTTGTCAGTGACTTGTTGCAAATAAAATTCAAAGCATATAATGCTAAACAATTTTCAGTTTTTAAAGTAGCTTTTTATTTGCAATGAAGAATTAACTGTACCTATTTATCAGAGCTGCTCCTTCAGCTGCTCTTCCTCTTCATCGCCTGCAACCTTTCCTCCAGAGAGCTGAAGTTTCAGCCCCCCTCCTCTCCCAACATCTGGAGCTGGGGATTCCTTGGTGGGAATAGATGAAAAAAAATAGAGGGAAAGGAATGAGCAAATCCATAGAGTCAAAGCTGATCGGGTATAAGTTACTTACTGTGCAACTGCCTTTTTATAGACTCCAAGCAATTATGACTTCAGTACTCAAACTGTGGCTCCTCCTCCCCTTCTTTGCCCCTCTGGACTTCTCTTTCCATAGATCTCGTAGCAAAGGCTTAGTTTTTTACCACCATCTAGTGGTCTTCTCCTGTCTTTCTAACTGAACAGTGATTCTGATCTGAAATTCATTATGACCTTTTGATAATATTAAAGGAGAAATGTACTAGGCACACTCCTTTCCAAAGCCATAGAGTTGTTTCTTTTTTTTATTTTTTTGTTTTCTTTGCTGTTGGTAGTACACTACCAATAAGTTCATGCTGCAATAGTGCTCCAAAAGGGGTGAGAACAGAAGACTCTTATTGAAGTGGGAGGTTTATTAGTGTTGTAAGCATTTGTATTATATTCAGTTTTGGTTTTTTTCAGAAATAAGAACCAACTGTTACAAATCTCAGGGAACATGCAGTCAAACCCATCATGTCAACAGAAGATATATTCAAATAATTTGCATTAAAATAATAGAACAAATAAACGCTTGTGTCCTGTCTGGCTCACTAGAACCAAGATTTCAGTGTAGAAATGGAAAGAACACACAGTGTATCATGCCAGGAGCTAGGGCTTCCCAAAACATATGTGAATTCCCCAAGGTTTCATGGGGCCTAAGAGATGTTAAACTCAGCACTCAGTATTCTGATGGCTAAAGTTCCTCTGTGGGTCTAGCAGTCAGGTAACTGATGTTCCTTCTGGGTCTTAACCAAAAGGTGGTAAAATCAGTGCAAGTCTTTAACAAATCATCCCTGCTTCTGTGTGTGTAGACTGGTGAATGCAAAGCACACATTTACACTGCCAAATGCCCTCCATGTTAGTTGCTAACCAGCCAGTCAAATGCCATTCAGTATACAAAGTCTCTGCATCTCCAAATCACCACTTTTCCACAAATTAGTGGGTTGAGTTTTTTTGCAGTGTATAACAGTTTCAAATGCTCATTTCTAACCTATAATATTTTTTATAAAGAGTCGCCACTACGAAACACTAATTTTATTGCTATATCCTGTGCCATTTTTGTGTTTTCAGTGTTCAGCTAAAGTTTATGCATTGAAACTGTTGTATGAAATATTCTTATGTACAAATAGTCCCTGCACCAAAGGTGACAGTGAAAAGCATCTTTAATATTTTGAGTAAAATGTCTCCTCAAGCATTATGCAGTTATAGTCAGCAGATGAAATTTGCCTATCCCTTCTCCCCAGTACGGGAAAGAGAATTTAGATTATCACAAACTAGAGGTAGCAAACTATGCTCAAGTGCAGCTGTTCAATCTGAGTGGATGCCAGCCAGCCAACACACACACTCCCTGCTGTATCTCACCTGTATGCCAATTCTGAGCTCATAGTTCATTGCTATGCCCAAAAGAAAAGTATAGAAAAGGGTCATCTGCAGTTCTCTTCCTGTTCTTTAATGGAAAGCATTTTTTTTTTGTTATCTTTTGCATAGCTTTTGATTATCCCATTTCAGACCTTGGAAATTAGATACCTAATGGTAAAATTTTTCTTCTTTCAGTGTTCTTATATCTAGAAAGAACTGTGCAGACATTGTGCTCTTTCCACTTCCAATTACCTCTCTTGCAGCAAATTGCTTTGTTATTGATGTTGTTTATTATTCTATTTATTCTTTCCATTTACAAATTTCTCTGTATGTTCAGTTTAACAGAGCTCTTTGCAACCAGCTTAGCTGCCTTTACAAAAGTTCTCAATGTACCTGGTAGGACTTGGTAGACCAGCCAATTACAAGAAATAAATCACACATCAGACTGGATGGTTTGGTTGTTATTCCTTAGAGCAATGCCAAGATTCTCACATAAAAATTATGAATCAGCCTTTGGATTCTTGTTCCACAAGCCAGATACTGCAGGCATAAATCTTGGTACAAGTGTCTATGCTATGCAAAGAAACTCCCTTGTTTACAAAGCTTGCAGAAAAATTACCTGCCTGCAAAATAGGTAGTGGTATAGATGCATTTTTTTTATATTAGATGATAAAATGCAAAAATACTTCCCTCCCCCACCCCCCAAAAAATAATTTTGTCATATTGCTGCAGTAAACAGCTATAAATGTTATGGCTTGACAAGCAAGCAACAAAAGGGACATGAAGTAGCAGTGGGTGGAGGCATGCAGGTGAGTGATGAGGATTTTAAGTAAAGGGGTACAGGAGCAGATCTTTGCATTCCTTTGGGAAGAATCCAAGAATACCTTCACCTTCCAGCTGGAGGACTCCTGAATGAATAGGCTTGTCTTTCAGATGTTCATAACTTTAGTGTTCAGCTCCCTTGACTGTTCAGTTAAATAAATTCTCTAACTCTACCAACAGGTTGGCACTCAGTGTTTTCCAAGGTCACAAAGATCATGTCTGGACTGTCAGTGAGAGCAAACGGTAATTTATGCATCACAAAGCCTGAACTCATATTTAGGTATAGACTGTACCAACACAGTACAGGACCTGACCTAGGCACCCTGAGGAAAACACTGAAGCCCCTGTTCTGTTCTCAGTCCACCATTTTCTTTTCACAGGTGCAAAGAGGAAGAGAGGTTGAATGGGGGCCTTGGCGTGCAGGTTCACAGGTCTCCCTGCAGCACAGAAACAAGGACAGCTGGGCATACATCAAGGAGCCTGGATCTGGAGCCACTGACAGTGCTACTGAGGTCCATGGTCATTCCAAAAGGGACACTAAAATGTATCCTTAGGAAGAGATCTTTTTTATATACTTCATGTAACATCTTACATGGTGTAAGGAAAAAGTTAAATGCTAGAATCCCCTGTTTCACTGAACTCAAGAAATTTCTTTGGGTTCCAGGAAAAGAGAGAGAAAGTGTTACAGAAAGACATCAGTGAACAGAAGAAAGAAGTGAAATAGGGTTTCAGCAGAGAAAGAGATGCCAGGGCCTGTTTCTGTCCGATGCCATTTTTTTCAATTGTGAAGTGGTGAGAGAGAGCAGAAGCCGCTTTCTGACAGAAAAGAAGAGTAATTCAATAATCTACAAGCAGACTGGGGTAAAGAAAAAAAGCAAACAAACCATTTAGCAGGGTCTTACTAGATACTTTTTTCTGGGAAGACTGGATGATACCCTAGAGTGCTATGAAACCCTTTAGAAGGACCTCAATAGTTTGGAGAGATGGGCAGAGAAGAACTGTCCAAATTCATTGAAGGCAGATGCAGGATCCTGCACATGAGGAAGAATATTCCTATGCACCAGGACAGGCTGGGGGATGACCTTCTGGGAATCAGTATAAGAGAGATGTGGAGTTCCTGAAGCAGGTCCAGCAGAGGGCTATGCAGATGTTTAAGGGACTGGAGCAACTCTCTCATGAGGAAAGGCTGAGGGAGCTGGGCCTGTTCAGCCCCAAGAAGAGACAAAGGGACCTCATCAATGCGTGTAAGTACCTGAAGGGAGAATGTCAACAGGATGGAGTCTGATTCTTTTCTGTGTTTCCAAGCAATAGGAAAAGAGGCAACAGATAGAAACTGATGTACAGGAAGTTCTACTGAATATGAGGAAGACTTTCTTTCCTGTGCAAGTGACTGAGTGCTGGAACAGAGGCCAGAGAGATTGTGTGCCACAGCCCAAAGGGGGGATGGGACCGTGGCGCAGCACGGGTTCAGGAGACAAAGGTAGGGTGCAGGTTGAGTCCTTTATTCCAGCCTGCACGCGGTTTTTTATCAGCTCAGGAGGGGAAAAGGCCAGAACATAGGGTGGAGCAGGAGACAGACAGGCAGGGGGACAAACCAGGATAGGGACATGGGCAAAAGGGGAGGAGCGCAGGAGGAACCAGGGGAGGAAAGGGCGAATGGAGGCTGTCTCCTCTCTGCAGCTTCTCCAGCCAATCGGCGGAGAAGCAGGGAAGCAGGGAAGTGAACAAGCCCGGATATGCCCAGGAGATACAAATTCTGGGGAAACATACAATGTGTATATACATAGTAACTGTAAAGTCTGCATCATAAAGTCTGTTCAATCGCTGTACATATTTTTCCACTTCTGGAATCGTTCCCATTCTGATTCTTGGTCCTCAACAGTTGTGAGTTCTTCCTCACTGGAGATATTCTAGAACTGTCTGGAAGCAATCCTTTGCAATGTGCTCTAGAATGATCCTGACTGAGCAGGGATGTTCAACTGGATAACCAGCTGTGGTCCCTTCCAACCTGTCTCATTCTGTGATTCTGTGCAAGTATTTCTTGGTAGACCACAGAGAATACTTAATGTGTCTTCATTCATTAGCACAATTATCAAAAATAAGTGATTAAAAGTGTTACTTCAATGACATGTTTTGAGATGTTTCATGTCTTATCTGTCAGTATGGCAAAGACAAATATTAAGAGCACATTGTTCATTTGTTTCATAAAATGATTGTGCATGAGAATCTCTTTTTTTGCATATAAAATGTTGCTAATTTGCTATATAATTCAGCTCCTTGGTCTTCAATTCAGTCTTCAGTGTTTGAATATTTTAACTTTGTTAATGATCACAGGCAATTCAATGAAAGCTGATTTAATATACCAAAGCTCCAGTAAATCATATTTTAATATTGAGCAGAAAAGCTCTAGATATTACTTTAGAATAGCATAGCATGGTATAACACGGTTTGATTGGAAGGGACCTACAATAATCATCTAGTACAACTTCACATTGACACTTCACATTGACAATTCCCCATTTTTCCAGCCCAGTTGTAACACCAGTGTTAGGCACACATTTGCTGCCAGGTGGGTCTTCCAACCACCCACATACCTATATATATATATATATATATACAAGCAGATCTTTCTGCTGCAGGTGTTGTCCAACATCATTTCCCAGCAAGAAACAGCTGACTTTATTTGCAATTTTCTTGATGGGATCTAAGACGCGTTTTGTTTCTGTTGGGACCAGCATGGGGCTCTCTGTTTTTAAGAGGCCTGCCCTGTGGTGGCAACTTACCAGCTATTTCCTTTGGGTGAAGAAACAGAGCTATCCTTTCGATGGCAAAGACCTTTTAAAGGATTGTACAAGCCAGCCATGATTCACTATTCTCCTCATCTGTATCACTAGCACATGACCTACACACTAAATCTTAAACTTCCTCAGGCTGATGAGAAACCAGCAGCCTTTCTTCTGCCCTAGTGTAGTTTCACACATCCCCAAGATACAGACCAGTTCTGAAATTCAGGCTTTGTTTTTCTTCTGTCTTCTCTCATGGTCCAGTTCCAGCTTCTCTTGCAGTTTAACTCCACCTTTCCTTAACTTTCATTAAAATTGTGAACTTCCTGGTATAGCATTTGCATCTTCGTCATGAAACAAATGTGAAAATACATATACAAACAGACATTGCACAGTGTCTGAGCACATCGTTATATTTACATTAATAGATAAAAACCAAGAGAATAGAAATCACTAGCAAAGAGCAAAACTTCCAAACACAGTGCACTATGCTTAGATCATCCTTCCCTACTTTATTTTAGTGAGAAACGTATACTCAAATACACTTTATTTCAGCATAAAGAAGCATGCATTCCTCAAAATGAGTGATAGATTCTGATTTCTGGGGTTTTTTTACAAGCTTCTGGTCTAAAGAAGTCTGTTGAAAAGCTGCTTACTTCCCTCTTCCCAGCACAAGAGCTCAACATGAACCCTCCCCTGGGAGTGGTGTGTTTCCCATCCTGGGCTGGCTGCTTGGTTTGAGCAGAGAGCCCTGACGACTCAGTGCCTTTTTGTCCTGTGCTGTCTCTCTTGTCAGGTGTTGGCATTTTAGCACAGCATGACTACAGAAAGGTAAAAAAAAAGCTCAAGGAAAACCTCAAGAAGGTACATAGTGAGAATAATTATTAATTCACTATACCCACAAAGAGACATTGCTACACAGAGAAAACTGCAGATGCAGTAATGTGTGCATGCAGTTCCTATCATGGCAAGTGCAAGTGTCTCTTATTCAATGCATATGATAATTAAACATAGATATATGTGCTACCAAGGCAATTTTTCAAGAACACTATGGCAGCAATATCAACAATTGCCTCCTTAGAAGTAGTATTCAGTGTTAATCTAAGGTTTCTGTACTGATATACAGGTTCTTTCCTCACTCTCTGTTCAGGCTGATAAAAAATGCAGCAATTTCCTATTTAATAAGGTGTCTAAATACACCAAAAATTAGAATTAAATAATAGCCATTTAGCTCAGAACTCAATTTTTTTCTGTCAGGCTCTCACTACACTACTTTTCCTAATTTTTCCTACAATAAAGGCTTGCAATAAACAGTATCTTTTTTTTTAATGTCAAGATTTTTTTTCAATCACTGTATCCTAAATGAAAAAAACCCCTGACATTTTTTCAGAAGTTGGAATTATTTTTCTTCTAGAATTCACTCACTAAGGAGTGAAAGTGTAGAGTATTGCTATGGCTGAAATGAAAAGATGTCAAAATTAAAAAAGCAAATTATGTCTGCTGGAAATAAACAGATCTGCAGAAAGGAAAGTATTGTGTCTGAACCGATAACATCATCTTCTACACTGTAGTGCCCAGTGCATTCACTTGTACCATTGAGAATTTAAATCAGTTTACACTAAATCAGTCTCCTCAATGGCAAGTTGTTTGCTGACGTACAGAAATCAAGTGACTCTCATAAGCCCCCAAGATTCCTGGCATTTAAGATTTCAAGCATCATTAATCCCTCACAAAAGCAGGAACCATGTGCCCTGATGTCTAATCCAGCATTAAAATGAAGCAGAACCTGAGAAAATACTTGTCATACTGATTTGGGGAGGCTGCTGATATGATATGTGTTTCTGATTTTCCTGGGCTTACAAAGTGCTTAGTAACAAAAGAAGACCAGAAGACATTTTCTTTTTGGTACTTTTTGAAACATAATCAAAAAAACCTTTCCTTTCTCTCTTCACTCCCACTCTGCCCCCTCCCAAACAAACAAACCAACCACAACACAAGAAACATAGTATGACTTCGGAGAGAGGACAGTCCCTAGAGCAAGTTCTGGTTCTGATGAAA